TAAATTCATAACCAAAAATGACATCTTTCCTGTTAACACTTTTTTTCTATTAATTTTGCTTTTACTGACTTGAGAACAGAATATAATAATCATATAGCCTAAACTTGTATGAATTAAATATTTTTACTGGTGAGGTGTTTTCTCTTCTGTGTTGACTTTTTTTTCTTGTGTAATTGGTGTATAGTTAATTTAAAGTTTAGCCACTGAAATTAAAGATTTTATGTTTTGATAAATTGTTAAATTTTACAAGTTTATAAATGTAAATATCACTGGAAGAAAAGGTCAAAGTCTGAAAATTTCATGGGCAAATTAAATGGTAAAAAGGAAAACATTTTTGTTAAACATTGATATTTAAAGTTATAGTCATCTAACTGAAATATTTAAATTTAAAAAAGATCATAGTATTATTTATTGAATATTTAAAAACATCTATGATTGTAAACAAAGTGAAGATGACTGAAGAAGCTATTTCAGTTACAAATAGTATATTGCTCTGATATTAGCACTACCATGCAAATATGCTTTAGTAATGAAGTGAATAAAAAGAATACCTAAGATAAAATAGTTGACAATCAAGAAAAGTAGAAAGAAAACTTCAATATAAGGCTACAACAAATGAACAAATTACATAGGACTTGCATTACCTTTTACATTGGGTCCTCCATTTGGGATTGACAGCTCAGAAAAATTCAAGGTAATAAAGAGGTTGTAGTCTATGAATTATCTATCCATCAATAAATGCATAAAACAGTTGCTTTATCTAATGTTTGTAAAAAGACAGTATACACTGTTCACCACACACTCATACTTTCAACAAATGCATATACATATGGAATTTATGTTTAGGAATGTGTTCAGCCATTATACCATATTTAGACGTATAGGATTTATTTCTCTCTAATTTTGAATCTGGCCAATAATTGTTAAGAGTTAGTGATGAATAAGGTAGCCAATTTATATAGGGTGTGACAGAAATACCTCTCACATAATAGTAAGACAAGATAGAGGAAGACACCATTTGCCCCTATGGTCTTACCATTATGTGGGAGACATTTCTGCTGCACTGTACAAGGGATAACATCTCAAGCATTTTGCTATAGACTTTCAGGTCTTAGGATTTAAACCAAAATTTTCAAGAACTATATATCTATATAAATTATATTTACAGTTTTACTAGTCGATTGTAATTTGTCTTTTTATAAAATGGTCCCAAATTTGAAAGAAATACAAGGAATTGAAAAAAAAATTCTTTACTGACATTTTTTTAAAGCTGGGGATTTATCTCAAACTTTCTTTTTAAAGAAAAACTATAAGTTTGAGTTCTCTTGGCATTATAGATGCTAACATCTGTGAAATTGAGTGTGTGCATTTCTTTGAGAACTTTTAGCTTACAGTATTCTGGAATTACTTATTCAAGAAACACAAGACAATCTATAAGAATTTTTTTTTAAACATTTGTCTTGCATTAACAAAATATAATAGCCAAACTATCACCGTTAACATCACAAAGAGAAATATTTCATGAAGTATGTGAAAACTGATTTTTTCAACAATAATCTTTAGTGATTAATTAATGTGGAACAACATTGCATAAACCTAATGGCTTGGTTAGAATTTTGGTCCTTCATAGAAATAGTGAACCAACAGAAAACAACAAGAGGGAGGTATAGTAATATTTTAGGGTAATATAGGGTGAAGTGTTTATTCTTTATTACACATTTTACTAACATTTGTGGAATATCAATGTGGCAGTTAAAATAAAAAGCAACTGAACTTAAAATAAAAGAAATTGAGTCAAACTTAATCATAAAACAGAGTGAAAAACTTATGTCAGTTTTAGTTTCTTACCACTTTTTCATTCAACAGATTTTCAATGTTTCTCACTTTATCACAGTTTAGCTATCACTTTGAAATATAATCATCAGCAACTTTCATTTATATATAGTATCTTCTATCCAGAAGCTTGCAGATATATTTAAATTAAAGAAAAACCCCCAAACTTAATTACTCTAAGGCAGGGTCTCTTAAATTTTCTTCCCACATATTTGAGAAAATGCTCTGTATTATGGTGAACATTTGAATTCAGGTTTGGGAAGGGTAACATAAAATACAGTGAGGAGAATACCGAAAGCAAATTATCTATCAAGAAAAAAAAAAAAATGAGCAAGTTCGCAATGGATAATAATAATTAATAATGGATGAAGTGCCGAGAGCATGAGAGACTTGATCATATACTAAACTTTTGCTAGTGTACCTCACTTCAAGAGTTCATGTTCTAAGAGAAGATCTTTTTTTTTTTTTAAAGGCCTATATTTTTGACATTTCAATTGGGTATTACTTGATCAGCTGATAATATCTGATAAAGAAGGAGAGTTGAAAATACAATAGACTTTATAATCAATGAAAATTACTTTCAATGCATCAAGTTATTTTGTCCATTAATTGCAACAAATAAGGCAAAGTAAGATAGACATAGAACCACAAATAATAAACAATTAAAAACTATCATTGACATGAAATAGTGCAAATGGGTTAACCTGGATGCTTGGGTTGTTTACAACATTATTTAACCAAATAAGTTATACAGATCTGATATTAATGATTGTCATAGATTCTAGGATATGATTAGTTATGGTACATAATTGCTTTATTAAATAAAAGTTATTAACAATATTTGTAAAAGAGAAACTGAAGCAAAAAATATTTTAGGCTTTAATAATTTTTATATAAAAAATATATGCAAAAACGTCTGCACACATGATAGACAAAAAAAATTATAGTACTTACTTTTAACTTTTAAATAAAACACTGGATATAAAATCTGACGTAAATTATTTCATTGGATAAAATAAAATTATATTCATTTAAATAAAATTTGTTTGTAAAAAACTATATCTTATGAAGAATGTATTAATAATTAAATGTTTGTATTTATAAAATGTGTAAGTAATAAGTCTGTAGAGATAAAATTAAGAGGTACACACATGTATATAAATAAAGATGGTAATAAATAAAATTAAACATTCATTAGTCTTATCCCTAGTCTGAGTTTAATGGAGATTACATTCATTTGTCTTGATTGCAATCAAGTAAGAATAACAAGTGAATTTAATTTTATTTATTACTATTACTGCTTTATCCCTTAATATTAAGCACTCTAATTACAAAGGTTGCTTGCCTTAAAAACATTATTTTCCAGAAATACAGTATTCAATGATTTCTTTTAGCAAAACACAATCTATGCTATTGCTGCTGCTAAAAAAAACAAAAAAAAACACACAACATATTAAGAGTTTAGAAAATGTTATACCCCCAGATAAAATGAGAACAAATGGAGTTTAATTCCACTATATGTAACATTTAATTTAAAAGAGGGATCAACACAGAGTATAAAATTCTATATATATTATTTAATGGCTGACTGCTCATTTTTTAGTATACCTGTCTGCTGTGGTAGCTAGCTAATCCCTATTGCAGACGCTCGCTCAGGCACATTTGTGTTTGCTCAACATCCACAGAGCCCACCTGTAGTTTATACTGCAACTATGCTCAGTGCACCTGAGTTATAGTTCCTGAGTGAGAGCACATAATCTGGGGTGATCAACAGTTAAACAACAGTTAGTGATTTGGGACTAGCACAACCAGTGGCAAATTCTGAACAATTTTGTTTTCCCAATTTCACTCACAAGTCTTGTGTCAATTTGTGGGTATGACTTTCAGGCATTTTTCAACAGTACTGCATGCTGGGATTATCTTTCCAGGCTGGTTATGATCAAGAAGTCACCTCTTTGACAAATTGACCATGGTGAGATTTGAACTTGGGTCTCAATAATGATTGAAATATTTTAACCACTTGATTACTTAACATTTATATAATTTGTGTATGCAAAAATGACCATATATTTGCTAAACTTAGTCTAGTCTGGCACTTGATCATACATAACAGTCACCTGTATAGTCAACTTTCAAATATACATATTTCGTCTTGAATAATAATAATAAAAATAAAAAATGGGTGAAAAACATCCCCTAAAATTTTATTCAATTTCATGAGTTTTTTTCTTAATTTCTTTATTGTTTTAATAAAAATCCAAATATTCTTTTTTTCAATTTCTCAGAAAAAAAAGAAAATTAGAAAGGCACAAACCCTCCCATAAAAATCGTAAGGGGAATTAACAAAATCATTTTCTCTTATCTTTCTTCTCCAATTGAATCTGTCCACTCCAGCAGTTATTTCATTTTCTTTGCCATAGTTATTTGCAAATAATAACAGCAACAAAATGATTAAAAGCAAAAATTTCTTTTTCTGCTTCCGAAATGTTTTTCTTTCTTTTTTTCTTCTTAATTAAAAAATGAGAAAAACAGAAAGAAGAAACTGAAGAAAAGCATATAGAGAGAGAAAAACCAATGACCCTATTTTTTGAATTTATGAGACCAGGCATTTCTGCTATTATACATTGATTTGTTTGGACTAGCTTTCTTGCTCTTGTTACAACATTTCTACCCTCTAACCTGTCTGTTAAATGTAGTAAGTTTTCTAGGAATGTCGAACAACCCCACTCCTTTTTTTTCCTCTCCAATTTGTGGTGGGTTGTTCCAACTGGTGGAAAAAAAACAAAAAAAAAAAAAACAGCACACACATTATATTCAAATAATCCCATCAATAGGCCCAGCATAAATATTGGTACAACATAAGAGCCACTGATTCAGAAAGAATCAGAATTAGGTTATTCAATAGTACATTGCTGTGTAAATAAAAACAATGGTAAAAGCCCATTTGGTTTTCTGGAAGTTGCAAGTTCAATCCCTGGGACTGGGATGGAAGAGATAAAAAAACAAAACAAAAAAAACTGATGAGTTCTGAAGAATTTTCTAGGAACGACATCAGATATTAAGGAAAGTCAAAGGGTAGATTAGTCAAAATGTGAAAACAACAACAAAAAAAGAAGGAAACTAGTCCAAATAAATTTATCTATATGAGCCATTTCTGTCATTCAGTTTCACCGTGCTGGCATTTCTCCCCCATTTGTTTTTTTGTCTGCTTTGCTAAGACTTTTGTTTGAATTTTTGCGTATAAACAACCAAGGAGCACTGAGTCGCTTTTTGCTTTTAGAATTCTTGCTGTCATTAGTATTTGCGGGGTCATTTTTCTCATGACTGAGGGACAATGATGCTCCTGTTGAGGCTCGTCGGTTGATGGGCGAATCATTCACTGAAGGAATATCATCATCCATTGGTGTAACCAATTTTAGGGTCAAACTGTCTCCACAACTCCGAACCAATTGGACAAGTTCTTCATGAAGACTCCATTTTGTGTCTTTCTCTCCAACTGATACAATCAAATCTCCTTTTTTCATCCCACTTTTCTAAAAAATAAAGAAAATCAAATTTGAATAAGAATTTTTTTTACTTTAATGTTTATTAAGTAATCATCAGGAAATATGTTTTCACACCAAAATTGGTATTGATTGATATCAATTATTGGTAAAATTTTCAAGATCTACTGATATGAGCAATATTTCTCAAGAGTTTCAAATTATAATATCTATACTTGTTTGAGAGGTTTTATTATGAAAAATACAACATGAATTTTTATTTTGAATAAATGAATCCAAAAGATATAAGCCATAGTAGCATATCTGAGTAACACAATACTCTACATATTATTTTACATGTTAATATAAGCCTTTTGATATTCTATAATCTTTATCAGTCTTTCATTCATTGATTTTATTTACTTTTCCATTCTGACTTAACATTACTTTGTATTACTTCCCAGAGATGATCTTTAATTATTGTTTTCCATTCATATAAGGGGTGGTTTTATCTGAAAAAGTAATTGACCAAAATTGAAACATTGGAAAACAAAGCAACAGTGGGTATGTAATCCTTCTTGAGAAGCATTAATATTGAGTTTTTAGTGCCACCAGCTCAGACCTTTACAGCCAATACATTATAATGGGAAATAAGACATAGGTGCATCAAGAGACAAACACTGCATTGTCAGTGATGTCCACCCAAATTTAAAGTTCAGTAGTCAACAAAGGCATTGACCACAATTGTGTTCTGGAATGCAAAAAGTGTGTTTGTGAACTTTATACCATGAGACAAAGTGGTTAATGCAGTCTGACTGTGAAACATTAGACAGTTGCTCATTAAAAGAGACCAGGATAGGGTGTCAACAACACCACTCCACACACAGGCAGTCTGAAATAGTCTGGCATGGTTGGGATGTCTTACTGTATTCACTATATAATCAGAAGTAGCCAAGTCAGGACTATCATCTGTTTGGTGGCTCTCAAATGACATTTATCTAGGAAGCGCTTCTACATAAATGACATTGTTGCTAACATGCAAAAATGGCTCTAGTCATTTGATACTGCGCACTTCATGGATAGCATTTGTGTACTAAAACAGGCACATCAGTTTTGATGGCAATTACATGGAAAAGTAGCATAATAGTATAGAAACATCTGCAAAATGTTTGTACCATACTTTTTGGGACATCCCTTGTATATCTCTTTTAAAGATGGGTTAAAAGTTTTCTAATGAATTATGACTTCCATTCTATTAATTTGCAGTGTTTGAAAACTTTTTTGGCAAGGTGAGCAAATTTCAGCTTTGCAGAATGTGAAAGGAGAATTGTTTTAAATGAATATACATTTTAGCTTATAAATTTCTTGGTTTTGTCCTGTACCACTCAAAGAAAGAAAGAAAAACACACAAAATGTCCTACATTCACTGTAATTATTTACACTTTTTACATCATTCAGACTGTTGTCCTCATCTTTATTGCCATATTCACAATGTTTCAGCTATTGTATGCTCCAGCCTTCTTCAGGAGATATACATTGAAATTTCAAACTGAACCCCCTATTTAGTCCATCAGATTGTTCTAATTCCATGTGCCATGCCTTTTTTTGGATATCTCATCATGTGGAAGAAGGCCGAAGTGTAAAATAGCCAAAACAATGTGAATATGGTAATAAAAATGAGGACAACAGTCCAAACAATGTAAATAGTTACAATACCTCCCCTCAGAAATATAGACAGATTCATTGTCATATAGGAGGAATGATGTGCATCTCTTTTTAATGATGGGTATCTTGAGAAGTATGATGAGAACCATTTTCTTAATTTGACACCTTTGAAACCTTTTTGGCAAGGTGGGCAATAGTCAGCTTTGCAGAATGTGAAGAGGCATTGTCTTGCATGAATATACTCTTTAGCTTCTTAGTACCCTTAAAAATGTCTTGTCCAAGAACTTGCAATAATTTATCAAATTTGAAAGAACTGATAATTTTGCTGGCTATGATACTACCCTAAAATATTACAACATTGCCTCCCTCTCATTTACTGCTAAATCATATTGGTTGACTATTTCCACGAAAGACCCAAACACTAATCAAGTTATTTGGTCTACACAATGTTGCTTGACAATTGTCACTAAAAGTTATTGTTGAAAAATCAGTTTTCATGTACTTCTTCAAACATTTCTCATTGTGATGTTAACTTAAAGGTGATAGTTTGGTTGTTTTCATGACTTTAGCCAATTTTCTTAAATGTTCTGCATCTTTTCAACACTTCTTCAAATATTTTCTTCATGGTCAGTTTATGTTTCTTGCTTATTACCATTTTAATTTTCTTAAATCTTTTTGTGATATTCTTAAAGCCAGTTTTTTCTTGCCAAAGTTTCTTTTTTGATTGTTTTGAAATCTCTGTCCAACCGTTTCACAATTTCCCATTTATTTTTTACCATCACTCAATAACTTTCACTTTTGAGGTTATAGCATTCTTATGATACAATACGATCTTTTATATATCTGAAATTAAAAAACAAATATTAATAATCATACCATTTTATATGAGTAACACTTTATTTGCATAATAATTTCTAATAAAAACTGATATAAGGCAAAATTCACATGATGCCTTTATCATAAAATATACCCTGAAAATTTTACCAACACTGCTTAGTTAATTTTATTGTGAAAACATTGATTTGCAAAAGAGTGCATATACTGACAAATGTATATTTAAAATCTTTTCCACTTGATTCCTCTCATGAGGAATTTTTTTGTCTTGGCTCTTTTGACTTTGGCACTGAATCAGAAAATGATTCAAAACAATTCATAGATGATTATGAAAGCAATGAATATCCTGTAGCAGCTGATGTTATGAAAATATCAAGGTCCAATTGGTTTAAATCACTAATATTGTCTATAGACACTTAGACAAATAACTAAATTGACATTATTACTATTGATTTATTACTGGTTTTTATCCAACTTATTGTTGCCTTTTATCATAATAATGATAATCATTAAAAAAAATTGTTAAAAATAAAACCAATCAACAACTATTTTATCTTGAATAAATTAAATAAAAAAACAGTAATAAAAATTGAAAGATTTCTACTATTGCTATAATGGTAAGTTTTCCTTTTTTATTCTTGCCTTTCTGGTTTAAGAATCAAATTCTTGAGCCAGCACACAGTGAAAATAGATAAAATTGAACTTACTCTTGAAGAATTAAAATAATTTTTTAAATTATTTTCATTTACAAAGCAGTTCCTGGCACACAAACTCTTTATGTGAGATTTTATTCTGTCTATATTTTAAATACAAAGACAGTGTCTCATTTTACTAAAAGTGGTCATCTAAAAAAATTCTAATAATTTAAAATGACAGTATAATAAAAGATATCTGAATAAATTCATTAATTCTGCTTTTCTCACTTTATTTCCACACTATTATTTTTTTAAGTGAAGAAGGTTCAATAATTGTGGAAAAAAAAGTAAAAAAAAAAAAAAAAAAAAAAGGAACCCAACCTCAGCATTTGTGCTTGGTTCTACTTTATTCACTCGAACAGGTGCATCTCCCCGAATACTGAAGCCATAACCTTGTTTGGGATCCTTTGTCAAGTGAACAACTCGTGGTGCTGTCCATAAGTGACTTGCACAGAATATGTGGCCGGGACCCTGAAATAAAGCAACTAGCATTAAACACATCTACACCCAGTGAGAATGAAATTTCTTACATTGACAAATTAGTCACTGAGACAAGCTCATTAACACCATCAATGCTATGACAGCTGTCCATTATACTGACATCATTCTTATAAGCATAAAAAACAAGAAGTTAATTATTTATGTATCGGCATAAATACTTTTTATATTCAATAGTTGAATTTTCTGGATCATAAAAACTTTTGTTGGATGGTATGAAGTGTTTTTATAGTTGTGAATATACTGTAAACAAGACCTTTTATCTTTCTGATTTAACAGAAGAATGAATTACAGACAGATTTGTGACAGAATGAGACTCATAGCAGAAATTGCTTTGGAATGTTAACTCTCTTTATAACTCAGATATAAAGAATTAAAGAAATAACATAAAATAGAAAACAAGAACTGTATTTCTTACAAAGTTTGCTGTTGAAAAAAATGTTAGGTGTAAGCAGTACAAAAATTAAGTAAAGATGTTCAAGATAAGAAATAAGAGCCGAAGAAAAATAATAATTGGATTAGGAAGAAATAAAAAAGAGCAAAAACAAATGTCATTAAAAATGGAGGCTCAGATGTTCACTTTTTTTGGAAGGTCTATGACTATCATATCAACTATCAACTGCTTCAGTAACTGCGATATCAGTGGGATCTGGTGAATTCATAAAGTTTCAGTTCAGTTCTTCTCACTCATCCATTTGGTTTTTGGTTTCTATTACCACTACTCTTCTATTCCATCAGTTTGAGAGTCAATTTTTAATTATCTAAAAAGTTCAGTTACATGCTACATTGAGAAAAAGTATGCCTTCCTAAATATTCTAGAAATTTTATATAATAGTAATTATTATTATTATAAATAATAAAGACAAGCACATTAACAAGATCCCTGGTAACCTATTTCCAAGTGAGGCAAAAATTTGCACAGTATAGAATTGCTCATCTACTCAGGAGAATGTTTTCAATGTAAAGAAAATACAAACATTGCACATGTTAAGTATCACTTAATATTACAATTTGTGCAAACAGACTGCATTTGCTTATGACCATTCCTTAATCCTAGGTCTTGAGTAATGATTCAGTAAGAGATTGTACTGAACAGAAAGCAAAAGAAATAATAATAATGATGATGATAACATAGTATGTATGGCTTCTGACCTTAACTGAAGATGTTAATATGTACATTTTGTTGTCTTAGTAAATTGGTAAATTAAAATGTACTGTTTTTTTTTGTTTCTTTTTTTAAATCATTTCACTCCAAGCAAGGCAGTAAAGCCACTAAGATGCAAAGGGTTACTGTGAGTTAAGTAAACTGAGAAAACATAATAAAAGAACAGCATTTAAGAAGATAGATGACAATTGATGTTACATTTAAATTTTTGAAGATCATAGTTGACAGTAAAGTGAGAAGTGAATTCCACAGGTGAGAAGTGTGAGAGAAGAAACTATTACAATAGAACTTAATTACACCAAGCATTTTTAATGGTAAAATGATGAAATCTGGCTACCAATCTAGTATTACACTTAAATTCATGAACTTGGGGTAACAAAAAGCTCATCAGAACAATGGGTGTTAGTATCTGATGGAAGGCAAAAAAGGTTCTGTTAGATGATTGAAAGAGAACAGTTTAGTTTTAGAAGCATTCAAATTAAACCCTTTCTTACCTTAGGTAACAAGAGAACATTTTGGAGATCAATTGCCAATTTGACTTTCTGAAATCTATCAGACTTACCATTAAGACAGAAGTAAATAATTGTGTCATCAGCATAGATACCATGTTGAGAACTGATTACATGAGGAATATCATTGATAAAAATTAGGAACAAAGTAGGTCTGAGGATAGAGCCCTGGGTGAGTCTGCATGTATATAGAAAGATTTAGAAAAGTGGCCACTCAAGATAATTTCATTTCCCAATTTGATAAAAATTGTATCAAATCAAAAATTGGGCCAGAAACACCATTCCAAACTCTGTTAGATGTTTGATATATATAAAGCAACAGACCAAACTACTCCATTCTTATCTAAAGCTTGATGAAAGACTTTCAGCAATAACCAAATAACACATCAGCAGTTGACCAAGAAAAGTGAAAAAAAACCTTGAGGTGAGATGCTTAACCAATTCTGAATTGATTAGAAGCTCTAGTACTTTGCCAAAAAAGAAGATTAATATAGTTAAAAGAATCAGACACATTTCACCAGAGTTGTTAAAAAAACAGGAACTACAGAAGGATTTCCAACAAGCTGGAAAGCAAGTAGCAGCAAATCCTTTATTGTAGAGATTACAGAGAACAGGAACCAATTCAGAAGTATATTTCTTTAAGACACTTGTAGAAATACCAAAGATTTAACATGTTTTGTGTGGATCAAATTTAGCTATGACAGCAGAAACCATGGACAAAGTTATGTGTATAATAGAAATGCAATTCTAAGCAGAAAGTCAGGTAGAGATGCTCCACAAGAGTCAGCAGAATTGGAAGAGCATTTACAAGTAAAGCATTCTGCTTTATCTGTAGAGGAAGATAACATTTCAAATTCAGTGAAAAAAAGGAGATATTTACCCTTATTTAACACACACCTACAGAGATACCAGTAGTCATGAGAATTAAATTTGTAAGAGAATATATGGTGCCTCATTCTATCAGTAAATAAAGACTTAGCCTCATTGAAGATCCAATTACATGTGGTCAGAAAGAAGCTGGTTTTGTGAACAAAGCTGTCATGTTGGTATAGTTGGAAAAAAGGGATTCCTGGTTGGGGTGGTGGGTTATAGTGGTTGAACAGGCAGGTGTGAACCAAGATGATGATTATGATTTCACCAGGTATTTCAGAGATGGCACAAAAACAACAATGCTGACTTTCACCCAAGAAATCTTGGTGGAACAATATTGGATAGAAAGATTAAAAGAAGAAAATCATGAAGTGAATCCCAATTGGACTACGGTAAATATTCTGTTCAGTACTAAAGATTTGCTTGTCAGTTGCCTGACCATAACCAGTTTGGCATGTGCCTTGGGGGCTGACACATTGTGCATCTGTGTTCACGAGTAAGAATAGTAGGAAAACGTCACATTTAGATACTTGATCAGAAATTGTCTAAGCAGAGTAAGTTACCTGAGCTAAAGTTATTTCTAACTGTACCCCACATTCAACGTTATGTGCTGCTTTTTATCAAGACTTGACATTATACTGGCTGTGATGTATGTGCCTGGTATACCCTTAGCAACCTGATAAGGGTATACAAAACACATGCATCACATGATGTGTATAATAAGTTTTGTATATTTGTATCCCAGTGTCACTTTGTTGGTGTGCTGATCTCTCATACAGTAATATTATTAATAAAAAACAAAATAGCAAAACAACTGAAAAAGAAACTTCTAAAAACTTTTCTTTTCCTACAATATTTGATGGCTTATAAGACATCATCTATTTACTTTCATATTACAGTATTATGGAGTTGGGTTCAGGGCAAGTACTGGTAGTCTTTGCTGTCTGGGTAAATCAAATATCTCCCTTTCCCATAAGTATAGTAAAGATTTTAATCTATTACAATCCTAATTTATTAATGACTAGACACTTAAAAAGTCCTTCAATGTAATGGAACAAATATATCATATACTTATTAAAGTTATTCTCATGACATATTTGATGGCATATAAGACTTCATCTTCTATTTACATTTCATTTGACGGTATTATGTAGTTGGACTCAGTACAAATACTGTTATTCTATGCTGTCTGGATAAACATCAGCTAATCAGATATCTCATCTTTGTATACAAGATACCAGTAATATTTTGGTGACATTTTTTGAGGAAATTGGATGAAGCTGCTTATAAATCATCAAATACATTAATTTGATAAGAAATGATACTTGAAACAAAATTTAATGCATGTGAAACTTACACTAATGTTGTTCAATCAGATATCAATTTGATATATGAATTGCAATATTTACATAAAATTTTTAAAGATTTTACATTTAATGATTCATTTTTTTTTTTATCAAAATAAAACCAGACCTACATGCAATATAGTAGTGTTATGTTTTTTTTTTCTGTTTCTTTGTCTGAATTATAAAACTCACCAAAGCTTGAAAGAAATCAACCACAGAATTTTGAGCAAAATGGGGAGCAATACAGTAAACTTCAAACCCAGGTTCTGGTACAATAGAAGGCACTTTAACATAATCACTGAAATCATCTTCTTCTTCAAGACTTTCATATTTTTTCAATGCTCTGACAAAGAAAAGAAAAAGAGTAAAATTTAATGGTTTTGATATTAGTCTAAAAAAAACAAAAAACAAAAACAAGCAAGCTTATATGCAAAAATAATGAAAATAGTTTTTATTTCTTTGTATAGTTTAATTCCGACTCACCTTTGTGAAGATTGACAATAGGTGTAACAGCTTTGTACTGTTAATACCATATAGGTAATAGTTATGCCCCATTGGTGGAACAAGCAGATGACGATTACAACAGATCTCAATGGATGAAGTGGAATATGCATGACAGATATGCTGCAGAAGGTGCCACTCAGAGTCAGCTGCAATCTGTTGCAGTTTCATAACTGGATTCTGCATGTCTCATTCCATATGTGTTGCAGAAGAAGGTTATGAAATCAAGTGTGTGGGTCACTTCCTGGCAAGTTCAGGCCCACCTTAAACAAATTCACACCATTGACACTTTCTTTCACTTCCAACCAACTTTTGCAAAGCCAAGTGGTGATAATGGAATGGATGATAGGAACAGGTTTTGGTGAAAATGAAACCTATTACTGAACCTGCAAGTTGACAGCGAATTAAGTTATCAATACCACCATCATAAAGGAAGTGATCAGCAAAGAAGCAATTAAATCATTGGATTCAAGATAAAGTCACTGCTGCCACCAAATCGTTATGAGACACTGGTTCATGCAGGTGTTCACCTATTCCCTTGTCAATTATCATGGTATACCAATGATGAGAAATATTTTATTACGATATTTGACATTGAGACATGGCACAAGAAGAATTGGATTCATGCCTTTTTCCAAGAGCGTAAACAGTATCATCCATGGCTCAAACATGATGATTACCATTATCTTACACCTCCAAGATGTAATTAACCCATTAACTGCAACTGACAGGAATTTCTGTCAGTTTTATGGCTCGACTGTGATTGGTGGAAATTTCTGACACAATCAGTTACTACATTTGGAAATATAATTGGTTTCTCAGAAAAGATGTAAATTGCTTGCTTTGAGAAATATTTACTGTATATAAAGAATATTTGACAAACCTATTCCAAACAATTTTATTTAAGAGCTTTTCCTTTGTGAAAAATATTTTAATTTTTTTAATTTCTAAAAATTGATAAAAAGAAACAGTCATATTCTGAAGGGTCAAATTAAAGATTAAGGTCATATCTGGAAGAATAAAGATATGAAACAAAAACTGAAGCAAAATGAGAAAATAAAAAAATATTGGCAACAGCAAAATCAACATTGGCTCTGTGGCCAGTTTACAACATTACTATTAAATTGCATCCATATGTAAAAAAAATGATTTCTTTTATTTCATTCTAATATATAAAAAATATTTCTATCTCTGCAATTGACAAATGGTTAATAATCAGAAATAAAAGTAAAATGCAAAAACTAGACAAAGAAAGTGAGAAATAGAGTAAAAGAGAGAAAATAGCTTTACCTTTCATATGCTTTTCTAAGCACACCATGAAAGAGGTCAATTTTACGGAGCTGTTTGCAAAGGTCATGAGTGTTGAGTGCATCTTCCAAGAGTAAAATACATTCTCGATAATGGGCTTTACCTGGAATAAGAAAATAAATTGCATTTATACTGGTTGCATTTATGACAATTAGAATTTTCAAAGTATGGTTTATAATCTTAAAACATGAAAAATCATTATCATTATAGTAAAGAATATAGGTTTATGCTGTCATTTCAATAAATTCAATGTTGTTAAAAAGAAGAAAGAAAAACAAACCCTTTAAGGTCTGTCTACATCTCCGAGATGGGGTATTATGATTATTTACATTATTCAGACTTATCCTCATCTTCATTGCCATATTTACAATGTTTCAGCTGTTGTATGTTCTGGCCTTCTTCAGTTGTTTGGAATTTTGAACTGAACCCTTTATTTTGTCCACCAGGGTAGATTGTTCTAGTTCCACGTGCCGTGCCTCTTCCAGATGTCTCAGTTATTTTCCTTTAACTCAACTCTCTGTTTTTGTTCAGTACTGCTGTAACCTGGTATTGAACTCAACTCTTTGGGTCTAGTCACTGATTCTAATCAATGTCTTTATCCATTGGACCATGTGTCCTTGAAGTAATAAAGGGTTCAGTTTGAAATTCCAATCACCTGAAGAAGGCCAGAATGTACAATGCCCGAAATGTTGTGAATATGACAATGAAGATGAGGATAACAGTCCAAATAATGTAAATAAACCCTTCAAGATGTTGACTGATTCAATTCATTCATGAATATCAAATATAAAGATTGTTTTTTTTTTATTAAATTTCTAATATTAGAACAGAATTACCAGATAAAAGAAAAGATTTGATATAACTAATAGACTAGAAAAACTGACAATGTCAAATAGTGTTCTCTTTTGGGAGTGATGCATTTGGCAAAGCATGAATCTCTCTTCAGTTTGTCCTCTTGCCAGTCAACTAGTACATGTATGCCATTTCAAGTGATAAATTTCTCAAGATATTGAGAAGCCTCAACCCATAATGCACAAACATTAGACTTAATTTAACACAGTACAGTTTATGAACAACAGAAAAACATACAAGAAAATCATTAAAAAAAAGTTATTAACTGGAATCATTAATTTTAAACTGTATCCTCCTAGTGTCAGTTTAAACTGAAGCCTTCTTTTTCTCTATATATTGTAACCATTTTGATTAGAGTTCATATTTCCTTTATTTAAGAGGAAAACTTGAAAATCTTCCAACATATTTCAGTGACATTTTCACTTTCCAAAATAATAGTTTAGATACTTGGAAAAAAATTTCTCAGTTTAATCTAATATAGATTAATAAAATAATGTCACTTTCAGTTGTTATTATTATTATTTAAAATAACTTTTATATTTTAAAATTGCCTTGAATGACTTTTGAGGGGTTGGGTGTAAATGCTTTGTCGGAAAATTATTTTTTCTATGTTCCTCAAACATTTCAAATGGTCTCAACTGATAAATGTACTTTGTTGTGTTTATTTAATTCTAAAAGAAAAGAATTTTTACCTTGGATTTTTCTCTTTTCTGGAGTCAAGTATAAAACACTAGCTGTTTTTTCAATTGTTGGTAGATTCTCAGATAATTTAAGGACTGTGAAAAGCTCACGTAGTTTGCATAAATTGCTGGTGTCTGAAAAAAATTAAAAAAATAATAGTAAAAGAAAAAAGATAAGAGAACAACCAAAAGAGAAAGAGTTTCACTGAATGAAATCAGAAGTATTTTTATTGTGAATTTTAAAAAATGAAAAAAATGAACAAAGATAAAAGAGAGGAGAGAAAAAGGCAAAGGAAAAAAAGAAAAAGAAAAAGAGATAGAGTAAAGGAAAAAAGAAAAGAGAAAAAGGTAAAAATAGGAAAAAGATAACTACATATATTTTTTAATATTTGTTATTTACTAAACATAGCATACAAGGCTATAGATATGGTCTCCCCTGTGAGGATCGATTTCCCTACACAGTAGCAATAGTCAACCAAGCTAGTGCTGTAGGTCTTACCTGATACCAATATGTCCAACATTTTTTAATTATGTTTCTCTGTGTGCTTGTATGTATATGCATGGGAATGACTGGAAAAATTGAAATTCAACTGAAATATAATCTTTAAAATTTCTTAATGCTTTTTAGTTAGAGTTGGATAAATTTATGAATTCTTGCCCTCTGAAATAAAATTTGTGACTGGGTTATCATTTGAAAGCTTTTAAAGCTGTTTGAAGCTTTATAGAAACTGAATAAAAACAAGAAGCAAGGGAGACAACTAGAAAGTACTAACCATCAGGATCCAACAGATCAAGCCCGACATGACAGTGAGCTTGGGCTTTGTAATATTGACTTTTAACAAGCATCATGGAAATCCAGGAATATGGCACATAGGCTTTTACTGGGTCGGCACTAGTCATCTCATGACAAATATTGTACATCTGAGACACCTGAAAGCAGAAAAATAACAAATATTCAATGGGAATTATGACTAGCACAGAAGAACAGATAATGCAAGCGTATGATTAAAAAATCTCAAGTTTTAAATACTAGCTGAGAGTAATAGATTTATGATCATTATATGTATTGTATACATATTATGCTGCCTCACTGTGGGGTAAAAGTTAATCAGTTGGTCTAGCAGATCATTAGACTGACATTTGTAATGATGTGTGAAACTAAACCAGGCCAGCACAATTAAAAAAAATGTGAAGGGCCACATTACTTGCAGAAATTAGCCATGGATTGCAAAAGTAAGTAGCACTAATGTATCTCAAAGGAGAAATGTCTTAGAACAAAGATTGTTTTTTTGTTATTTTTTTGTAATAGGTACACAAGCGTGAAGTGTTTATTTTTAGTGTAAGAAATGTTCAGATTTAGTTTAGCTCCTGGTTATGTGATATTTTTAAAAGATTTATAGAGTGATATTGGAAAAGGTGACAGCTTTTTCAGCCTTTTATCTGGTATACAAAGTCTGTCTTAATATTCAGCCATTCTGAAAACCATTTTTGTGGCTGTGATGTAATGTAACAACCAATCAGAAAAGACCTTATTATGCATGCTTGGACAGAAATTTTCCTATTTGGTGTTTCTTATCAGTGAAATTTACATTGAATTAATGTATAATTTTTTTTGCTAATATTAAATGATTGGATACTTTCCTGACAGATCTCAAACATTTCAACTCTGGGATCTAAACATGATTACATATTAACTATTCCTAAATGCTAACTCATTCAATATTTTTTCTATTGATGATTGTAAGTTTTTATTAAAATATAAACTGAATAACACTGTAAATTCCCTATTTACAGAAAAAAATCACTAATCATCAAATTGACCATATAGTTAATTTCTGTAAACCTCATTTTTAAAAAAAAAAAAAAAAAAAAAGATAAATTCAGTCTCTCACTAAACACATGTAATCACGATAATAAAGATATTTTAAAAAATATCACAGGTTCCTTTAAAAGAGAGCACTTATGGAAAGTACTGATGTAATTTCAGATTGTGTTTATGTTTTGTATGTTAAGGTAATTAATGAGAAATGCATCTACTAAGAATAAGTATAAACTTTAGGGATGGTGATCTGAAATTATTTATTAAATAATTAGCCAAAGTTTATAAATGCAGAGAATTGACCAAAAATGCTAATATCACACTCAATATTAAAAAAAAAAAATAATAATAAACTCACTTTTTAAACATTTTAAGAAGACCCAATTGGAAAACTACAAAAGTGTTTTACTATGAATGTTTATGCAAAAAGATTAAATATTTTTTAATAAATTATCCTTAGTTCCACATTTTAATTTTCTTAGAAGATTTCATAAAGTTTGAGTTCAATGAGAAAAATGGCTTGATAATGACAGGAAAACAGAGAAAAGAAAAACAGATGACGACAAAATTTATGTAGGATTTAAAAAGTTCATTTTACAAACATTATGTTAAAAAGCAGAAGTAACTTTTATTTACCTTGGCAGCCATCTTGGCAATTTTTAAATGGGACAAGATTCCTAAAGATTGTTCATTCAAAACTAATTTTTCATAAATACATTCTTGAGCTTGGGTCTGAAAATAAATAGGAGAAATAGAAACTAGCATTTTTGACTATTATTACTTATTTGGCAACTATATCAAGAGAAGAATTCATTTCAATTTTTGATATACAAAGAAAGACAAAAAATGTTTGGAAGAAATGATAAAAAGGAACTGAGATTTTACTAAATTGAAACCAATGTTGATCACAAGCACAAAATTAGCAAAGATCTATTTTTTGTGTTGGGAATATAGATAAGGAAAGGATAAATGTTAAACAGATTATCTTGTTATGTTGGCCATCTTGACATATTGTATCAGATTGAAGCACAAATATTGTTATCATTATCATTGTTATGCCTGTTATTTGTATTTCCAGTTTAGTTTCCTATGTTCATTAAAGTTTCTTCAAAGAAGCAAGAAGCAGAAATAATGTGGGGAGGCATATAGGTTGAGGGAGCAGAAAGGATGTGGGGAGTGCATGGTATGACATGAGAGGGTAGAAATGATGTGAGGGTGCATACTATGAGATGTGGAGCAGAAATGATTAGGACATCTGAGAAAAGGAGTGAGGTGTGGTATCTGAAGGTGGTAAGTAAAACAGATGGAAAGACAAACAGGAAAAGTAAAAATTAATTTTTTTTTTTTTTTTAATATCACACCTTCATCAACTTGATGAGCATGCGTAAAGTGTCTGGATGCATATCCATACTGGGTGCTTGAGTAAAATAATCAACCAAATACTGAAAGGCTCCAGCTGCTTTTTGGAAATTCTCAATGGCTGCTTCAACACCATCTAAAGTTTTCCGATCCTGAGAAAAAAAATGCAAAAAAATTACAATTTACAAAGGACATATGTTAAATGGTTCTGACTTAAAACAAAAAATAATTCTTTGGTTTATGGTTTAATCCTGCTTTCATTTCCACAGTTAAGAATTTATTTTACAGAAGTAGTTTGATAGTATCTCTTTGTTTTGTTGTCTGCTAAAACTGTGATTTATATAAATAATAAACATTTTCTTCCCTATCCCATCCATGTATAAATAGTCACAAAATTTACATTATTTGGACTATTGTTCTCATCTTTGTCACCATATTTATTACAATGTTTTAGCCGTTGTACACTCCGGCCTTCTTCAGGTGGTTGGAATGTCGAACTGAACCCTTTATTTTGCTCACTGGGGTAGTCTATTCTAGTTCCACGTGCCATGTTTAATGGATGTCAGTTTTCAGTTATCTCCTGTTAATTCCCCTCTTCAAGTTCTTCACTGCCTTAACTGGGTATTGAACTCACAGTCTTTGGGTCCTGTCACTGGATCTAACCAATGCCTTTATCAGTTGTGCTATGTGTCCTTGAAACATTGTAATAAATATGGCAACAAAGATGAGGACAATAGTCTGAATAATGTAAATAGTGTACATAATGCCTCATCTCAGAAACATAGACAGATAGTCACAAAATGTTTTGATAAGTTTACAATGATAGAAAATAAAAATTTTCACTTTCAGCTCTGCATCATGTCCTCTTACAGCAATCTTACACTTAGTTTACATGTAATGTTCAAATTCCCTACATTTTGTGGATAGCATCAGAGATCACTTTTACAATTTGTCACATGATAAATTAGTGTCTTAGTCCTGCATTAAGTTTTTATTACGGGAACAAATGAGACATGTCTTAGAGAAAAACACTTGTCAAAAAAAAAAAAAAAATGATATAAAAGGAAAGTAAAAATCTTGATATTCTTGACAATTTCTCACTCAATTCCTTCAATGTGCCCCAATGTGGGAAATCATGACTCGTCACAACTTCCTGTCTTTTGTAGTTCTGAGAAAGGTTTGTAGTTTTGCCATCTCTCCTAGTCTCTGTTCTGCCAACCATTTACACAAGCTCATTAAGTAGATAACTTGTTGCTTTCCCTCTTTTCATCATGATGTCCTGTAAGTGTCAAATTCTCAAAGCCCTTTTTTCTCATTATGTACTCCAGTAATTTCAATTGTGCTTTCTAATGTTAAGTAAAAGTGTATTTTGTTTCTATTTTCCTTAAAACTTTATTTCTCATGTGTCCAGTCCATGATATTCTCATCATCCTTCTGCAGAACCACATTTCTGTTGCCTCAAGTCTCTCCATCTGTGAGGAGATTGTCCAGCATTCACTACCATATAGGAGGACTGATATTACATAACTGTTCAGTACTCTTCTTTGTTTCTAATGAAATATTCCCATTTCTTAATACTTTGCTTGGCTTTTGGAAGGCATCTTTTTCTGTTCCAATGCACCTTTGGAATTCAGCATCACATTTTCTGTCTTCTGTTAAAACACTTCCTAGATATTTCAATTTTGAGACTTCTTGGTTTTTCCAAATCATTGTTCACATCATGGGTTTTTTCTTTTGCTGACAACGATATATTCTGTCTTACAAGTGATATTTAGTTATTTCTTCTCACTCTTCTTTACTACCTTCTCTCAGACTTCCTTTCTATGTCTGCTATCAACACTGTGTCATTTGCATTTCTTAGGTTCTTAAGATTGTGGCTACCAATAATGAATTCTACTTCTAATTCTCTCAGGTTGTAAAGGTTCAATAAATCTGGTGAGAAGAAAGTCTTGTTTTGCACCCTTTTCTATTTTGGGTTATTTACTGAATTCATTTTCTATTTGTATGCAGGTTTTTTGCTCCCAGTATAAGTTCTGGATTATTCTAATACCTTTCTCAAATAAATCAAGTTTTCCTAGTAGTTCAAATATATCTTTGTATTGTACTTTGTTAAATGCTTTTGCAAAATCTATAAAATATAGATATACATCCTTCTGCATTTGTATTGCTGTATTCAACTCGGCACAAAGTAGGAAAATACATAAGATTAAACAAATTTCATTTTTTTTTTCCATAAAAATAAACATTAAGTGCCAATTATTGGTAATATAACAACAACAGCTGAGAGACAATTTAAGTTATTTTATTGTCAGAAAGAAAACAAAGACGTAATAATCTTACCTGTTTGCAAGCAATTTGAGTATATAAAGCACCAATATTAAATAGAATACTGCCTTTCTCAAAATAAATTGTCCGTAGACAATAGGGTACTCCAGTGAGAGAATCATACCTGGAAAGATATTAAACATTCTTGTTAAATCTCATAAAATCAATCACAATTATTTGTAATCCTCATTGCTAATATTGAATTTTTAAAGGGGTTTCTCTTAAAAGATATTGTACAAAAACTATTTTACTTTTTCTCACAGGACAGTATTTAAGAGTCCATATATTTTCTGCGATTCCTCATGTGTGTATGCATACCATAGCCTTTTTGAATAAAGCCATAACCAATTCTCATGATAGAGATGTCAACATGATACAGGCTAAGGGCTAAAAAGATCACAATTGACATCAGTATGCATAACCAAGTGGTTTGAGTTGAGTTTTTCTTCTTCTATATTGGTTGCCATACAAAGATAAAGAGGCTAATCTACCTTGTTATCTATAGCTGAAGAGTAAGAGACAAATTCAAGCCTTTCCAAAGGGGCATTTTTATAAAGTGAATACAAGAGACATGGCCAGAATTTGAACTCCACTTGCTAGTTCTATTTTTCATCTCAATAACCATTATGCTACCTGGATATCTAATAATCAAGAGATATTAAAAACATTGATGTAAATTCTGATTACTCAGTTTCAATTTATAATCATCAAGAAGGCATGAACACAACAAAATCTTCTAATCCAGCTGACCTTTTTTTGAAAGGCTAATGTTCGAAACAACATTTGTATTTTTGAATGAGAATCCTTGCATGTACTTCAATCAACAACTTAATTCAAGGTTGGTTCATTCATTTTCTCCTACTATGAATTTATTTATGAGTATATTAACTATAAATAATCATAGTTATACTGGTTGGTTGATTTTGTTTAGAGGCATATCCACCTCTATGGATTATTTAATGTCAAAATCTAAATATTTTGAATACAATTTTATGGCTTCAACTAAATATTTTGAACACAATTGCATGCATTCAACTACAGATAAAATGTATTGTTGATAATTCTCTATAAATAGGTATTATTTGTAATTTTACTATAAAAATGTGTTTTTATACTTTCATAGTTTTGTCTTTGTTTGGGAGTTCATTATTTGCCCATAGCTGGGACACTAAGAGGTGCTACCACCCCAGGTCAAGGTGGATCTGGGAGCAACAGCAATTAAGAGGTGATTCCATGCTCCTCAAAACCTCCAATTTCCTGATCAGAAGCCTTGCTATTGGATGTAGCTTATTGTCGTACCTAAGACAACATAGTTATACACTTTCAAAACAAGTAAATCTACATTACTCTCTACTTAACAAATTACTTAACTCTCTACCTGCCAAACTACTTAACTGCTGAGATATTCATATTTTGTATGTAAGCAGAAAACTTACAACTTCATAATGCAATGATTATCTGCTCAAAAGAAATTCTGTTTTTATTAAAAAAAAAAAGTATGCCTCAGTTATTTTTATTCTTCACATTGAAAACACTCAACAGCTCACTTTACAGCATTTAAGAGCATTTTTTTAGCAATACTATTGAGTACATTGTTTAGTACAACTTATCCTAAACTCTTGATGTAAGGCTCTATGATGTAACCAATGACTTACAATGCTCAGTCCCTCATTTGTGATGCCTTTGTACTGGATTCAGTATAACAGATAACTATCTTTGACTGGTAAATTAGTCTCTTTTTATTCAATGCTAAAATAAATATATTTATTAGCATCTTAAGGTGAATATTCTGAAAAATATTCAGAATCTACTGACCTTTCTACTCTTAAAATACATGAGGATGGTTATGTACGCAAATTACTTTCTGGGCTCGGGGAATGAACAGAATGACAGGAGAGTTCTGTAAGATTTATACTAAGCTGTTTGATTGATTCCTTTTAGTAACTAATCAACTAATGGTAAATTCCAAGATGAACAAGATCACCATCACATTAAGCATGTTTTAGTTGCATGCCTTCACGCTGTTGGCATTTCATTCATTTTGACGTATTCATTACCATTACAGCTATTTTTTTCATTGCAAGACAAGCTTTTGTACAAAGACTTATAATTTTTTGTAGATTTATATATTTTTATACTTGAAAAAAACTTTTTTAAATATAACTTAAGACAAACATTCGGTTGAAATATTCTTTAATATTGTCAAATACTTTTCTTTTTCTTTTCTTATATTGCACTTTTCTCTTTCTATTTATTAGTTTAGTATTTATTGGTGGAAATGTTAATGAAAGAAAAAAGCATACCAATGAAAATATATGCCAAGGCTCTTTCCAGGACTATAAAAGCGTTTCTCCAAATGTGAAAGATGATTGTAGTATTTTATAAGCTGTGAAACACCAGATTCACTTCTTACTGGGACTCGAATAGCCTGGGGAAAAAAAGTACTTTGTTGAGTTATAATCAAGTTATTTACTTTTTTCTTTTTAGTAATGTTTGTAAACAATTTAAAATATTATTAGCTAATCTCATAAAATGAAACATTATCACATTATGAGGCATGACATTTTTTTTCTATGCCACACAGTTACATTCTATAAACTTCAGCTGGTTAATCAAATTCATATAAAAGATATTTGCATTATTTAAATATCACAAAAATAATCAACAGAGGTTTAAATGGATACGTAATGCAAGCAGAAATAGTAAAGTACTTACCTTAAATCTAGATAGTCCTCCTTAAGACAACACTTTTACTCAGAGGGATGATTGAGAAACTAATGAATTAGGACACTTAAGGGCAATATTAACAATAAGTATTTGAAATATTTTCTTAATACATTCTGTTCTCTTTAATCAGGCACTTTTTTTGAATCAGCCACAATTAGTTTGTTGAATGGCTACAAGGGCACCACCATATATTGTTTGCAACTTTCCAAGCAGCTGACAGTAGCAGAGTGTTTTGGTGATATGGTCTTGCACATTTTTTACAGCAATATATATGTGGAATAAGCTGGCAAGACTATATTTAAATAGGTTTTTTTCTGTCATCTGGCATTTTCTGTGGTCCAGCAGAGACCTGTTCCCAAGGGTGCTGGATTAAAGAGGTCAGGCTGTATCCCTATGGAATCCAAAATGATGACATTTTATTAAATCCTTACTATTATTATTACATATATCGTGTAATGGTTATTGATGCCAATATTGAATTTAGTGTGCCAAGTTCAATTCCTACTTGATTCTGCCCCATTCACTTTGCACTAATACCCTTGAAAAAGGCATGAATATATCTCCTTCCAGCTATGGCATAAATAGCAGAACAGACTGAGCTCTATTGCCTTGATGTGGGAACCAGTATAGGAGAAGGAAATATCTGAATTAAAAACCAGCCTGTTGAGTGATGGGCTCATCTCACAATCACCATTAGCATATAATGGAAGTAAATTATAAATATTGCATTGTTGTAACTATATTTCCTTAAATAAAATGATGGACTGGATACATATGTATATCAGAGGCAATATGCAACATTGCATAAATGCATTTTGTGGCAGGAAACATCAGCAGATATAAAATATCAATAGTCTCTCAGATTTTATAAGTACAAAATCAGCTAGATCTTTGATTATAAAATTGGTTTTCATTTTTAGATCTAATCCTTAATCAACAGTAGAAAGTATACACTTACTTTTGAGAAAATATATTAACCAGTACACTATAAATAAAGTTTACACTAGAAAAATATATAGAGTCTTCTTTTATGTGCTGTACCCTTTCAGGATGTGGGCAGTCATGGCTCTGTGCAACTTTCTATCTTTCATAGCTCTACGTAATGTTTACCTCCTTACTATATCTTGTTGTCCCTGTTCTATCATCCATTTACAGAAGATGATCAAATATGTTACTCAATGTCTTGGATCTTCTGTTCTTCAATATGACCTATGAGTGTCAATTTCTTTATACCTTCTTTCCTCATTGTGCCCCAGAAATTTCAAATGGTTCTTTCTAATTCTAAGTACAAGTGTCCTTTTGTTTCTATTTTCCTTAAAACTTATCCATTGCTCCCATACTCTTTTCATATTATTCACAGCATCTTTCTGTAGAACCACATCTCAAGTTGCCTCAAGTCTCCTCTCTATGAGGAAATTTTCCAGTATTCACTGCTATATAGAAGGATTGACATTACATAGCACTTCAGCATACTTTCTTTTTTGTTTCTAATGAAATTTCCTGTTTCTTAATATTTTTAGTTTTTGGAAGGCATCTTTTACCGCTCTAATGAGATTCAGCTTTCTGTGTCACACTTTCCTGTTAAAATGAGTTTCTGTACTTGATTTTGACATCTCCAATTCGGAGCTCACATCTAGGGCTGGTCCTCTTCGTAATGACCATAGATTTTATCTTTTTAAATTTGATGACTTGTTCTTCTTGCTTTCCTTTAATACGTTATCTAGGAGTTTCTTTCAGTGTCATCTGCATATCTTATGTTAAGTTTGTGCCCAGTTCCCTCCTATATGCGGGTGATATTTCCCAGGATCTCTATTAGATGCCTGAATCCACAAATAATACTCAAACCTATAAATGTTTTTCCTATACCTATGATAAATTTTAATTTATAAATTAGCTGCTGAAAGAGTTTAACAGTAATAATTCATCCTTGCATTGAATTGCCACATCTGATCTGGTTCTCCTGCAGTACATCTAAAAATTCTTGACAAAATCCAAAGATCTGTAATGCAATCGATCCTGACCAGATATCTCAACTTCAGTCACTTTCTCACCAATGTGACATGGCTTCTCTGTCTTTTCTACAAATATTTTCATTGCAACTGCTCTGATTAGGCTTTTTTCCCTGGTATCTCGAATACATGAATTTAAGTGTGCTACTAGACTGGCATCTAGGTCCCACCCTTTTACTGTTGAAATAGCTAAATGCAACTGCCACTTCTACTCCAACTTTCTTTTCTTGCACTTCCCACCTATGGAACTCTCTTCTATTTCCTTACTTCCCTGATAACTACAATCTTTAAAAATTTAAATGCAATGTCAATCACTATCTTCTGTTTTCTTGATCCCTGTTCATCTTTTGTCCTTTCTTCAATCCTTCCTATTCTCAAACTTCTCTTTCACTTTTACCTCCTGAAACCCCCTGCACACTAGTGGGATTACTGCATTGCTTGCAGTGAAAGGATTAAAAAAAAAGTTAAATTTAAAGTGGGTTATAGCAGGTAATGAAGACTTTCAATTGCATCAATGAAAACATTAAAATTAAGAAAAAACAAGGATGGATGTAATTATTAAAAATAAATAATCAAATATGATACAAAGTTGAAAATAAAATCTATTATCTACCACTGGTTATTATGCAAAAGTGATAAAATTAGCAGTCTTCATTTATAACCTATTTGGTGGATTTTGCAAGTACATTAATAACCAAGAGTAACAGTCATGTTATATGAACGTTTAGCTCAAATAACACCTGACAAATGTGAATTTGAATTGAGAGGAAAGAAGAAATCAACTTAAAATGCCTTCAAATGATCTGTACTGACACTTTTACAAAGGAATGAGGACATTGTCAATTGAAGGGAAGCCTAAAGTCTTTAATGATGGACTTTGTAAATGACAACCAAGGAATTTCTGTTGGTAAATTAAAAGAAGGGTGTTTAGAATTGAGCAAATAATGATAAGGTTGTTTAAGTCTTTTTTAAGTGCTATGTAAAGATTTTTTATACAGAGCCAGTTGAAGTACAAAAGGAATTTTAAATCCTGGAAAACAAAATGCCTTCTTTCTAAATAGTTGATAAATGTGTAAGCTTAAATTACTTCTTTGGACCACAACATTGTTACAGTCAATGAATCTCAGTGCATCTCAATGTTTGTTGGTTAAAACAAAAAATATATAGAACAATATATTAAAAAATTTATTTACTTTAGTAGAGAACAGCATCAAGTTTGGTTAGGTATTTGTGGAGTTAAATATATTGTGCTGCTGAAAAATTTGTGACAATGTAAAATTAACCATAAAAATAAATGAATAAATATATAGAAATATGTTCATTTATAAAGAGATGCATGATGGGAAGTGAAGAAAAAGAATTTAGCCTAGACAAGGCACTAAAAAGTACATCTTAAAAAAAACAAAAATCATGACAACAGTTTCAGATGTCTAGTCTTATGTTTAATCACATTCTTATTCTACAAGCAGCATTTATATATATATATATATATATATATATATATACTAAACTATGCATGAACCTCTGGGTCACTGACAGTTCAGGTTATAAAACATTGAAGTTGATTTCAACATTAGAAAAATTGCCTGTTTGAAGAAAGTTGAAATAAAAATACTGTATAAACAACTTATATTTTTTTAAATCATATTCACTTAAAAATATTTTTTAAATATTTAAAATATTGTTTGTCTAAAGAAAGCTGAAATATAAATAAACACATGCAATCAGAGAGGTGGAAAGAAACTTAAATCATTATTATGCACCAGATGGATGATGCAAACATGAATCACAGACTTTTAGTGTGTGTGTATATATATATATATATATATATATATATATATATATATGTGCACACACACAGAGTGAGAGAGAGAAATACATGCAAATAGACCTCTCCACCATGGCCTGTAAATGTTTGATTGAGCTCGGATTGGATGAAAGTGGTGGAAAGATTATATCAAATCAATTGCTCGGTCTGCTGCTAAGGAAGTTGGTTCACTGTATCGAGCTAGACAGTTTTTCTTGTCTGAATCTACCCTACATATTTATAGGTCTATGATTCGTCTATACATTGAATATTTCTGCCAAAGCTGGTCTAGTGCTCCTGCTATATATTTACAGATTCTTGATAAAATCCAAAGAAGGATCTACAATGTAATTGGTCCTGACTTGGCATCTTGACTTCAGTTACTTTACCACCTCCATAATGTAGATTCCCAGTGCCATTTCTATAAATATTTTCATGGTAATTGTTTGGATGAACTTTCCATTATGGCACCTAGATTTATGAATTTAAGTGCAGTACTAGATTGCTAGCAAGATCTCACCATTTTACAGTTGAAATGGCTAGATGTGACTATAAATTCTATGCTAAAAGTTTGTTTTCTTGCACTCTTCATTTGTGGAACTCTCTTCTGGCTTCATGCTTTCCAGTAAACTTTAATCTTAAAAAATTTAAATGTAATGTCAATCATTGTTTTTGGCCTTTTTAATTTCTGTTCTTTTATTGTTCTTGCTTCTTAATGTTTTCTTTTTCTTATATTCTTTCATACTCAGTAACCCCCCACCCTGTGTCTTAGTGGCTTTGTTACCTTGCTTGGTGTGAAATGATTAAAAATAAGTCTTTAAAATATTTATCAAACTAATGTAGATTTAAAATGAACAAGTATTGCTTGTCTGTTACTGCAGATAATTCTAGCCAGATGCCACTAGTCAGAATCATTAAGAACCTATTCATACTGGGTGGTCATGCTTTCAATCAAGTATTCCTGGTACGTATGTGATACCATAAATCAAAAGATGTCATTAGTCTTGTAGTGCCCTTTATTAGCAGTAGCAGCCATAAGTAAAGAAACCCTGTATCAACAGCAGCTCGAATATAAATCCATGTGAACCCTAAAGTACCTGTCTTTTTCTGAGGTTCCCTTTTCAAACTGCTGACATAAACTTTCCATGCTGAAGCAAAAGCAGCTGTGAAATGCTTCACATTAAAACACACCCACAGTAAGTCACACTATAGCCCATTCAAAAATATTTCATTGTGTATACAATTAACTTCTAACAAAAAACTCCTGTTTTAAACTTTACTTTTGTTAATTTTGTTTTAATAAATGTTATCTTTGCATTGAAAATCAATTGCTCAGTTATTTTTGTGCATGTAATCTTCACACCACCACTATTCTTTGTGCTATAAAATATTCCTTACACATTTAATTATTGAAGTAGCTAATTCATCTTGTACCCACTATCATGTCCTGTTCAAACTTTGATAGTTCATGTCACCTTGCCATGAGCAACCTAGTTGGTGTTCATACGGGCTCACCAGTGGAAAGAGCACAACAGATATACTTCTGGGTATTTTCACCACCATTACTTTTATATACTTCTATCCCATAATTTTTGGGACACGCACACACACATCAGTAAGATTAAGGCACTTAATTCAGAGTGGAATATTAATCACAGATCAAACATTATACAGGCATACTTTAAGGTCAAAATTCAGCTAATACCATTCAAGCTGTGATCTCATAGATTTACATTTATACACACACACATATATGTATTTCATTAATATACACATATTATATCTATTTATTTTTATAATAATCTTTTATAATTATCTAATCATCTTTATGTTAAGTTGAAATTCATCAAGGAAGGCGCCGTAGTTTTTGTTAATCCAAGTACTTTTGATCTCCGAGATATATCAGTTTAAATGTACTTTTGAGAGATGAGATTGTATCTCTGACAAAAGAGTAAGTACATATGTTGACTTGACGACCACAACATTATCAAGATGTCTTACACTCCATTTGTCAGATACAAGTTCTATCACGCAACATTTAAAGCGACATTCCTGCACACCTTCACAATACAGGAAAATACTTGTTGACAACACCAATATAATATACAATGAAAATAATATATATATATATATATATATATATATATATATTTTTAAAGGCAATTCACCCCAAGCAAGGCAGGAATGCCACTAGCACACAAGGGTTACAAAGGATTGAGAACAAGAGTAAAGAGGCATGTTTGAGGAAAGCATACAGAGAAGAACTGGCAACAAGCTCAGGGTATCAGATGTCGATTGACATTACACTTGAATATTTGAAGATTATAGTCATCGGAGAAGCAAGTAAGAGGAAGGAAGTTCCATAGACAGGAAGTGCGAGAGAAGAAGCCTGTTTGAGAAGAAGAGATGGTTACATTTAACTGTTTTGACAGTGAAAGAGTGGGACTGAGATGCCAGCCTGGTAGCATGTTTAAATTCATGCAGTCTGGGAACCAGTGAAAGTAGCTTGTCAGAACAGTTGCCATGAAAATATTTGTAGAAGAAATAGAGAGAGACTACAGCACATTTGTGGGATAGCTATATATATATATATATATATATATATATATATATATATATATATATATATATATGTTTTGAACAATAAAAAATATTAAAAATTAAAATCTTCAGACACACTAGGTTGTATATTAATATTCTTTCGTTTTTATTATTATTTCAGTTAGATTCCTTGACTAGTTTTGGCCAACATGGCCATCATCAGGAGAAAGAAATTTTCTGCTTGCTAGTAGCAGTGAACTACAGAAATGAGTGTCTCGATGGAGAAAATAAACTTTTGTCTGTAGTTTTCATTTGTTTTTTTATTTTTTTAACATGAATTTTGGTCAGTCCTTGTGTTGGTCAAACAGTCTCTTAAGTTGTTATTTAAGATAAGAGCTGGATTGATTCATGCTGCTCTGAATTCCCTTTGTCATTTTGACAGTTTTATTGGTTCCTGGAAAGAGGATGTATCTCTGTTAAGTGTGTTATTTGATTCTTAAGGAGTGAGTGAGTATGATGTGTGTAAGTGTATATATTCGTGTGGGTGTGTGTATAAATGTGAGGCCTCAACATCTCCACAAGCATGTCTATCTTGTGTGGGTGAGAAATGTGGGTTGGCCCTGATTTGTGAGGTTATATATTAATACTATCTATATTGTCAAATTTGTGATTAAGCCCGTCTGGATAATGTGTTTTTAAACATTGGATCCACTTATTTTCATGGCACTCTAAAATCTTTCTAATGTTATCTGCTCTGAACTTTTCTATTCTCTCAATTATAGTGAATTTGGCATGGGTTTTAAAATTGTGTTTTTCTAGGTGGAAATTTTGTTCTACAGGTAATAAATCTTTTATGGGGAGTTGACTTAATTCGATTGCAATAATTATTAATTCTGTAGTGAAAGGGCCATTCAGATTTTCCTACATATTGTTCCTGGCATAGTGTGCATTCTAGGAGGTAAATTATGTTATGACTTCTACAGTTGTAGTAGATTTTGAAAGTAGATTTAGTGACTGAGCTAGTGAATTAATTTGTGTGTCTAATTTGGTTGCAACATAAGCGCCTTTTGTTGTTACATGGTTGGGAAAATGCTGTTTTTGTTTTATGGATTACCTTGTCTCCTGAAATGTGGTTACTACCTATGATTTCTTTTAGGTTCTTAGTTCTACGATATGCTAGAAGGCCGGGTTCCTCAAACAATTTTTTTAGGTCTGGTTTGAGATTATTTGGGATAGTGGAGGCAGAGTGGGATTGAAAGTGGTTACTAGAGGGATGCAGCTGGGTTTATTTTTAATCTTGTACATTAGGGTGTCTTCCCTAGGAGTGGAAATTGCTTTATTTATTTGTTCCCTGATTAAGTGTTGTTTATAGCCACGTGTTGTGAATTGATGCTCCAGATTTTGAATGTGTTTATTTAGTTCTTCATTGTGGGAACATATCCTTATATATATATATATATATATATATATATATATAAGTTGCATTTAGGCAGTAAGAATACATCAAAACAAATTTTGTTGAAAATTTAACTAACAAGGTCTGCTTATTTGATTTTTCAATTATATTTTTCCAATTTCCAAATAAAATGTTGTATATTGGGATATGGGTATATGTATATAAATACTTGTGTCCACTACTTTGTAAAGCATAAAACTTATCCCACTATATTTTTGATCATTACTAAGAGTTTAGATCAGATACACCTTTCATATGTTTTAGACATAACCCCAAAATATGTCTGAATGAAATGGTATAAAAAGAGAAATTACTTTTTCATACTTAAAGCAGGTTTTAGTCATCATGCATGAAATAGGAATTGCTTTTTTTATTGTTATTAAATAAAAAACTGATCAGACTATTTATAAAAATAATTAAAACATTGCAATAATGTAACTATTTTTGAAGCTTTGATTTTGGTTTCAATTGTAAGAAAATAGTAAAATTTGTTATAAAAAATATTTTTACAAACTTAAAGCCAATTTTAATTCAATATTTTGTCATGTCATATTTTTATCATTTAAAATTACCTTCATAAATCATATTTTTTACAGTGAGTGTCTAATACCTTTCAACTTGGTTCAAAGGTCAAGTGGATGTTGAATCATTCATTCATAAGGGATGAAATCCCACTTAAATTTACAAATGTCTGATGAAAAAGCTGAGGTATAAATGATCAAAAGTGATAAAACCTGACATTACCCACAATGCCAAAAGTATATTCCCAATATTAAAATACTATCATATGATCAGCAATACTTCAATATGTAAAAATTTTAGATAGAATATATCTGTAAAAGGACAATATGAATAAAGACAAAAAGAAAATTTACCTTACCCAAACATTTTGTCCTCTTTTGGTTCAGAGTACAAAACACATCGGCTAGGATAAGTCTTCCATTTCTCTTTATTAAATACACCTATATACATATATGTGTTGGACACCTTGAGGTGGTGTAATGGTTAGAAAGCTTGTCTCGCTAAAACAATTACGAATGAGTAGTGAGTTCGATCCTCACTGGGTGCCCCTTACTTTCGGCCTTGTGCCACATCCAAGCTACGCTTGGAAAATCACTATACATATATATGTGTGTGTGTGTGTGTGTGTATGTGAGAGAGATGTATACTAGCAAAAAATATGACCAATAGATATTTTTTTAATAAATAGTCTGACCAACAGAATTACTTACTTGCCGAAAATCTTGAAACTGATTGATTGCATTTTCATAATTATTTCCATCTTCACTGTAATGTTTCAGGATAAAGTCCTGTAAAGATAATCAGCTTGTTATTTTTTTAATCAATGAATTTTATGACGTTAGGCAAACAACATTTTCATAATCTCCTCATATTATAACAAATAGTTTAAGCAAGATTCTTGTGTACCAAATATGATTAAATTATTTCCTTTTATCCCTGAGTTTCCTGGCATGGGGATTGTTTGGTACAAAATGCTTAGAGTTTTTCAAATAATTTTTTCCACATCACAATTATTTTTGTTCGAGGAATCATACCACATGAGAAAATGGATTCTTATAAGTTGAAAAATTCTCACCAGCATGACAGTTGTATTTGGTAGAAAAGAATACATTTTATGGATCAGAGATTTTAAAATTTTTGCCTTTCTGCTGTCAGTGTAAAATGTAAAATCAACTCCTCTATTTTTTTCATCTATGTGAACACAAAGAAAAAAAAAAAAAAAAAAAAAAAGATGATTTTACCAAATCCTATATTTAAGAACACCAGGGAAGATATAATTTAAAAAAAAAAATAAAATAAAATAAAAAAAAAAAAACAATAATATAGCAAGAAGATGGAATTAAAAAAAATTTAAGATGAAACATAACCACAGTGGCCAAGACATTTTATAGACACCAAGAATTCATGAATATGATACATAAACAAAATTAAGAAAAAAAAAAAAGAATTTCTATACTAAAATAAGTGCTAACAACATATCTAATAAAATCTATCTTAAATGAGATTATTCTTTAAGACCTGGTTTCTAATGGTTAGGCCAGTGCAAGGGTCTCATGGGCCTCTTCTACTCTATTACATCTCAATTTTCATAAGCAATATAGGTGAATAATTCAACTAGAAAAATTAAAAATAAATACAATGTATCTAAATACAAATTAGAGATATATCATAATAGATCATTTAGTCTTAAATAAATTAATGTTTTGCAGCATTTTTAACAAACTGAAGATTTTCTTGTTAAGAAGTTAAATAATCTAACACATTCAACATTATGGATAGAAAATAGAGAATTTATTTAGTGTTTTTTTTAGACTTAATATGGGCAAAACAAATTCATGGATTTAAATGAAGAAAAAGAAAAAACAGAATGATGTCAAAATCTGCAAAACTTTTCATCGTTTAATAGTCAGCTGTGTTGAGTTTCATTTGTAATATATATAAATATAGGTAGAATAAGTAAATGCTGATAAGATAGCAAAGGCCACAAAGCACTGCCTGGGATCCTCAATCAGGCTTTATCAAGGCAAATGTCACAAAATAAAATCCTTACATTTGCCTTCATAAAGTCCGTCAGAGAACAAAATGCATTGTCTAAGATAAGTTTTCTTTTATCTTTATTCATAGTCCTTCTACAGATATACTCTATCTGAAATTTTTACACACATTTGTGTGTGTGTGTATATATATATATATATATATATATATATAAGGAATCAACAAATTCTTGATCCAACATTATTTCCTACTGCTCCAAATGTTATTTTATGGATATCTATGTTTAAGGCACGGTGGAGTAATGGAAAGCAGCTCAGATTGAGGAATTGGAGAGCCAATTCAAATTCCAGTCGAATCCATTACATTCACTTACATGCTAATACCCTTGGGAAAGGTATGAATCCTCTTCTTTTTCCACCGGCTATGGATAAATAGCAGGACAGACCAGATTCTATAGCCTTGGATGACAACTGGTCTACTGCAGAAAGAAATGGCAACCTACTGCAGGAAAAAATCTACCTCGTCAGTCATGTATCAAAAGATACATGATTGCCTAAGCGTGTATTACACATGGCTCTGAACTGACTGATGTTTAAGTAGATGCTCCAATTTTTTATTCAAATCTCACCATGGTTGATTTATCAGAAATGTAACTTCTTGGTGTTATCAGTCTGGGGAGGCAAAACCAGCATGCAGCACCTTTGGAAAATGCCTGAAACCATATCATGCATCGACTCGAGTCTTGTGAGTGAAACTGTGTAGATGGCACTGTACAGAAGCCAATGATGGTTGTGTTTACATGGTTTAGCATAGTTGCAGTATAAACCACAGGTGGGCTCTGTTGGTCTCAAGCAAACACAGATGTGACTCAGCAAGTGGGTTGGCTAGCTTCCCTAACAAACAGGTGTGCTCAGAAAATGAGTAACCAACCATATATAAGAGAGAGATTAATATTAGTATTCAGTCGATGATTCATTTTATACTTATATCCTCCTTTTATTAAAATATTATTTTGAATTGTAATCATAATTTAATCCTTTATAATCATATTTCATTTTCGGATCATCAGGGGATGAGTGTGTTAAACAGAGGTGCTTATGATGTATTAGCTTAACCCTTACTCCAAAACCTACTCAAACTTAATTTCTATAAAATTATATGTTAGATATAATCTCTCAAATCAACAATGTCAATGCTTCTTATGGCCACCTGGTGAATTTATCCTGGAATCACTGTGACTCAATATGGCTGTCACCAAAACTGTCACAGCATAGTTTTCATTGAAACCATTCAAGCACCAAACAATTTACATATTATACTAGATGTACTAGATATGAATATGTCTTGTATCACTATAATGTAAAATTAAATAGTTTTAATCCAAAGAAGTTTAAATTTACTGTATGAATAAGTGTTATGATGAAGAGTGATTTGTGAAGTAAATTTTTGGGGAAAGAAAATGTCAACCTTATATGGCAGTATTTTTTATTATAATCTTGATTGTAGTCAATATGGATTACTCATAACTGTTGTGATAATATCAATCAAAAAGTTTTATCATCAACATGTTTATTTTAATATTTTAATTTAATTTCTTTTCAGATGACAGAACATTGGCTATTTATATCTTGTTATTCATGTTGAACTAAAATTTCTATTTCAGAGATAATATTATTAAGCCATATTGTCAGTTAATGACAATGAGGGATTTTGATACAAACATTTATGGATTGGTAGTATAACTTAAACTGATAAAAATATGAAGGGTGCTGAAGAGTTTGTGGCTCAAGCAAGAAAAAAAATTGATTTTTGGTTATATTGTTTGATCTTTGGAAGTGGATTGAGTCAAAAACTTTCAGACCCCCACCCACAAGTATTACTGCCTCTATCCAATAATAGTTGTCACATATTATACATGATGTAACAACTGTTATAGGGTAGGAAAGAAATATTAATTCTTTAACATGTCATCTTAGTTTGAATGGCATTGGTTGTACTTTAGACTAATGAGCAAATTTTTATACCCTTAACAGAATGTGACTTGCACTTCAGATATTTGTTAAATCTCAATACTGAAAAAAAAGAAAGAATTAAAATTGATTACAAGGACAGCACCAAAAAGCATGGGAAAAACTTTTAGAACTGTCTGTTGATGTTTTTTGATCAAAAAAGGAAAAAAAAGTATATGTTGATCTGAGGGGTCAACATCATGCTTACAAGTAGTGAATACAATTGTCTGTAGGCAAAATAATAAAGCAATAAATAAATCCATGGCTGAAGTAACTGATGTTTGTTTTTTATAAACTGTAACTTTGTTTTAGATTAGTTCTTTATGTCATGATTCAATGTCCTCATCAGAAGCTAAGTTCATTCTATGGTTCAAATTGACATCAGACTTTTCATTTTGTCACAAAGTTCTTGGTTGAAGGTTATTGACAATCATGACCCAATGTTCAAATTGTCTGAATTTCCCTTGATTTCAACTAAGTAAGAGTCAAAGTTCTTTTATTAAGAACTTAGATATTTTTTTAAATCACATTAAATATACACAGCCCTGTGTTTTCCAGAGAGGAACACCATCATATTCTTTTTTTAGATCGCAAACCTTAAAATTTTCTAACAACATAAGTTAACCAAAGACCATAAAAAACTTATATTCTCCTGATGTCAGTTCAAAGTGACACTTTTCCATATATCTAAACTATAATTATAAACTGATTTTAGAAAGTTAAAATTTCACTGAAATATGTTTGACAATTTCTAAGTTTTCATCTGGAATCAAGAAAATATGAACTTTAAACAAAATCTTCTATGTGAAGTGTCCCTTCAGAATGTAGGTGATCATGACTCTCTACAATTTCCTATTCTTTATTCTTCTTAATAAATTTTGTCTCTTTGCTATTTCTCCTAAACCTTGCTCCACTTCAGTTTACTCAAGTTCACTAAGTAGATGAATTGGGGTCAAATATGGATCAGAATCCGACAGAATGATAGGGGTTAGGAACAAATAGGAAATGTTTATCAATCTAATATGTTTCACTTTTATTATTTTATTATTCTAATCAAGCTTTAATAAAAGTGAAACATTTTAGATTGATAAATGTTTCCTATTTGCTCTTTATCCTATTAATAGGTAAGATTATGCATGGTTTGCCTCTGTCCCTCTTGTCTTCAATGTGTTCTGTGAGTATCAAATTTTCCAAGTCTTCTTTCCTTATATTGTACCCTAGAAATTTCAGTAATCTCTTCCTGATCTTAAGTATAAGTGCCCTTTTTGTTTCCATTTTCTCTAAAACTGTCGCAACTCACATGTTCGGTCCATGATATTCTCAGCAATCTTCTGTAGAGCTACATTTCTATTGTCTCTTCATCTGTGAGGTCCAACATTCACTGCCATATAGGAGGACTGATAATATGTACCAGTTCAGTACTTTTTTGTTTGGTTCTAACAAAATTTTCCCATTTCTTAATACTTTGCTTAGCTTTTGGAAAGCATCTTTCACTATCCCAATGCACATTTGGATTTCAGTGTTACTCATTCTGTCCCCTGTTTAAACACTTCCCAGATATTTAAATTGTTGTATTTGTTTGATTTAATAGTCACAGTATATTGGAAATAAGATGTCAGTTTTAACCAACACCAGGAGGATGTGGGTTTGGAACATCTCAACTAGATAATCAAGATGGTTTCAGTTGTGAGAGCAGTACATGTTTTTTTTTTTACTAATTTTTTATATGCCATAAATATTATTAGATTTCTTTTCATACTTAACTCTAGTAATATTATTATAAC